TCCCAAGAAAGGGGGCTGGAGAATACCCCCTGGCGTTGGCTAGATCCATACCATAGGAATTGATAACAGAATAGGAGACCGAATCCGAAGGCGAGATAGAATGTTGCTGTAACGATGCATTCCACGGAGCGCTGTGGTCCGCGCTTCTTGAGGTAGGATCGAAGTGTGAGCCAACACTTTATGTGGGCAACTTTGTTCAAACGCAGATGCGGAATACAATACCTTCGAGCACGATGACTTGACGTTAAAGCGAAGAAGTTTTTGGCGTAGAAATATCGCTACAAAGGGTGGAGAAATCAATGCTTATGATGCAAAGATTACTTGGGAATTTAAAGCAAAACTCACCTGTTGGAATGCGCGTTCGGCAACACAGAGAAGGAAGAATATGACCGCATAAATGTTAAAACGTAGAAAGATTCCAAGCGCGATAACCAAATTATCCCTGTAAAAGGAAAATAATGAATTAAAAGAGCTAATTAAACTACGTACGCATGTATTTTCTATTAAAAAGAAATCGCATTAAAACTAATAACAGACAAATCTTGGTCGAGTACGTTTCCGTTTCTGAGATGGGGTGAAGCTTGTTATAGGCAGTAACATGAAGTAACATGATAACCAAAGTGTAAAGGACTAGAAATCTATTTCCTCCGCTTGTAATACAGGAAGTTGCCTTATCATATTTTTATTAATTTGATCATTTATTTATTTTAAATGGCGGGCGTTTTGATAGTTATCATTAGCCCTTTAGCTGACTTCGGGCTTCACAGAGGGAGAGGAACATCAAAGTGAGAAAAAGTCGAGAGAGAGGGGGGGACAGAAGAGTGATTCATAGATGGAAAAGAGGCAGCAGACACGAAGGCAGAGAAAAGGTAAGATGAGTAATATGAAAGTGGCCGAATATGACATACAGTCGGGCCATGATAGTTTGAAGTCAACTGCCGGTTTATAGAGGGTAGTTTGAAGTGAGAAGTCAACTGCCAGTTAATATAACGAATATGACATAGAGAAGTCAACTGCCAGTTAATAGATCATGGTAATTGAAGTCAGAAGTCAACTGCCGATTAATAGACTTGGGGTCATGATAGTTTGAACTCAGAAGTCAACTGCCAGTTAATAGACTTACTCATGGTAGTTTGAAGTCAACTGCCAGGTAATAGACTTTAGTTTGAAGTGAGAAGTCAACTGCCGATTGATAGACTTTTATTTGAAGTCAGAAGTCAACTGCCAGTTAATAGACCTTTTCAGTCAGAAGTCAACTGCCGGTTTATAGACTTTTTTGCCGTTTGAGTAGTCAGAAGTCAACTGCCGGTTAATAGACTTTTTTGTGAAGTGAGAAGTCAACTGCCAGTTAATAGACCTTTTTGCGTTGAAGTCAGAAGTCAACTGCCGGTTAATAGAATTTTTTTGCCGATAGTTTGAAGTCAACTGCCGGTTTATAGATTTTTTTGCCGTATGAATATACGTTGCCCAGGGTGCACCACGTGGAGGTAAGTCCACAGCACACCCCGAAACTTGATCATCTAGACCAATGAAATGTGACAGAGAGTGTAAAGAAGAGGTGGAGGAGGAGAGGTATTTAGACTACCACAAAAGTCTTAAAGTTGATTTGAAGAAAACCGGGTAAAATTTGGAACATCACAACTTTCGATGCGCCTTGATTGGCGAATGTCCGATGGAGGCCGCTAATGATGGAGTTGCTTTTGGCAGACCTAATGGGTATATTCTCAGCCCCCTTTAAATATGGAATCACCGGAATAGGCCCAGAGCGTATATGATCTGGATAGTAGGGCGGTGCAGCCTCACCTCAATTTTAAGTAACTCCTTTTGACACCGTTCTATTCGCAAGAGAAACAGGCCTATCAAGATCGATTTCCTTTGCATTTCCATCACCTAGCATTCGCTGGCGCCGATCGCTGAAGGCAGAAGACGAGCGGTAGTTAAACTCGAACATAGTTGTCTGATCAAGACAATCTGGAGACTTAATCTTCGTGGTCAATTTATGGGTTCTGGGAGAGGTAAAGTTCAACAGCCTTCTTCCAGTCGAAAGCATGTAGAAGACAATGGTAGAACGGGAGATAAGGGGATTAGTTCTTACAGTCATATACGAGAGACTGATATACTGGAAGTAAGAAAGAAAGTGTGACCTAACAGCTGCGAAGATAGAAATGAGTTATCACCTACTTGACACTTTCAGCATTTCAAGATTTGTTCATTACTCACCAAACAAAGCAAATAGCATTTTCTAACACAAACGATGACGATAAATGGCGCTGATCTTAGGAGGCGACGGTGAGCTAATGAGGGAGCGTCTTGAACAGGACTTGTTCTGTTGTAAAACAATACCATTTCTACTATAGGGACACTAGTTTACATTTGTAGTTAATTTTAAAACCGAGAATAGGCAACCGAGCCTGGTAGGGCTGGCACGACACGCGACTAGAGCACTCCACCGCCCCTTAGCATCAGGCTACTAATCACGAGTTTTGTGATTTCCAAAACCCATCATCCCAGGTCACTGAAATGGCGAGGCCATAATAACCAACATTTGAAAACCGAGAGCAATTGAATAAGTCCATAAAATTGAAGAATAAAAAAGAACTGCGCTCGTGGGGTTCATTGAACATAGTTTCAATCGATAACTGAAACACTATGGAGAATTTCTAGGATATATTCAGTAACCTCAATACAAGAGAGAGAGAGAGAGAGTACAAAATTCTTATAATTGCGAGAGGCCTTTTCCACTGTGATGAATGCCACTTCAGGATAATCAGAAGATATCCCCGTGACTCTAGATTGACATCATTCTCTAATCTAGTGACATAATTCAGAAAATTAAGTCCAAATCTTGCGATTCAAACAAGCATCAATCCACTAAAAATAAATAGTCAAGTCATCAGATTAATGAGAAAAAAAAACAAACCTTCAGGAGTTGATAGGTGAAGGAATATTATGAACTTGAAAAACCATTTTTATGAGCACTGAAGGGTTACAAATATC